CCCCGCCGCAGCTGTCAGCGCGCACACGGGCTCTGCCAGGCCCCAGACCCGCAGAACGCCCGAGCCAAAGTAGGAAGGCCAAGGCTGGAGAGGGGAGGAGACTCCACGAGGTCACCCAGCAGGGTAGTCAGGGCGCGCTGGGCTGGGCAGTGGGAGACCGGGGTCGGGGCTCACCCCAGCCAAGAAGCAGGTAGCAGCGGAAGTGGTCCCCCTCGGAGCCCCCCACGAGCACCAGCAGACTGTGCAGGTAGATGCCCTCCACTAGCAGCCACGTGTAGTTAGCGCCCACGCAGTACTGAGTCACGATCTGGGCAGTGCGGCACGCCGCCAAGGTCTACGACGAGGTGGCCAGAGAAAGGGCTTGGGCAGTCAGGACCGCCAGGAGTCCCCTTCCACCACCATCTCTTGCTATATTTCCCCATCCTACATCCTAAATGGATTCTCTGGGGTCCCTGGAAGGAGATCAGGTGGTGCAGAGGTTAAAGAGCCCTGCAAGGTTGGTTGTTTAAACCGCCTTACTTGCTCCATGGGAGCCTGCTTCTATAAAAATCAAGCTCACTTCCACTGCAGTGGGTTTGGTTTTGCCTTTGGGGAGTTGGGGGTCCTTGAGTGGTGTAAATGGCTAGTATGTATGGCTTCCAAAATGTTGGACGTCCAAGTGACTCGGAAGAAAGGCCTGGCAATCTACTTCTGAAAAAACGGTCATTGAAGGGAGCTCTGGTGGCTTAGTGGCAAGGAGCTGCACTGCAATCACAGAGGTAGAAGGTTCAAATCCAGCAGATGCTCTGCTGTAGAAGGAGGGACAATCTCCTCCTGTACCAGTCAGATCTGATTTGACAGTACACACACACTAAATAATAAAATTAAAAAACCCAAAAACCAAAACAAAACAAACTGGCCGTTGAAAACCCTATGGAGAAGTCTGGTGGCCTAGTGGCAAGAAGCTGCGCTGCAATCTTGGAGGCCCACAGTTCAAATCCACCAGCTGCTCCGTGGGAGGATGGGCAATCTCCTCCTGTGCAATTAACTGCCTCTGAGAACCCAACAGAAGGCAGCTATGCCTCGGTTCTGACTCAACGGTACACAGCAACAAGAAGTTATTATTTTTAAGCAAACCAATATAAAAGTTTTTTTAAAAAACCCTATGAAGCACAGTTCTGTAAGAATTTCCCTTAAATCCCCACAAATATAGTGTCTGCTCTCCATAGCCTTCTAAAAATTGAACTCAATGGTTCAAATCCTTTCTTTAAAAGGTTTCTTCCATTCTAACACACTCTCCCACCAGCTTATGGACTCTTCCACCCCACGGCTGCTTGGTAACTGTTAGTATGACCCTCTCACTTTGGTCTCTAGACTGACATCGTTGCTTTTTAGTTCTCTGGAGAGGTCCATGACAGCAGATTTTCCCAATGCAATTTGTCTTTTGATTTCCTGACTGCTGGTGTTAGGAATGTTGATTGTGGAGCTGAGCAAGCTGTAATTGTTCACAACCTCAATCTCTTCTCCATCTATCATGGTGCTGCCAGTTAGTCCAGTGGTGAGAATTTTTGTTTTCCTGATATTGAGCTTCAATCCATATTGAAGACTACAGTCCTTGACCTTCTGCAGTGAGGTCTACTTTTGGTAGTATGGACTACTTTTGGTAGTCCATGGGATATTCAATACTCTTCTCCAGTAACACAATTCAAGGACATCAATTCTTCTTTAGTCTTTTTAATTCATTGTCCGACTTTCAGATCATAAGAAACAATTGAATCGGGCTTACCTTAGTCTTTAACTTTACATCCTTGCTCGTTAACACTTTGGAGAGGTCTTTGAGAACAGCTTTCCACAATGCAAGAGGGGTATTGAAAAAGTAATGATTGATATCTACCAAATCCCTACATCCATGGTTTTCTCCTATTTTACACCATCTCAGGACCAGGACATGGATTCTCTCATTGGTAAAACAGTCCAAGGATGGGCAAGATTATAAAGGAGAGGAAATGGCATACAAATAGAATCCAGAGAGAGAGATAAGGTGGGAGAGAGTGTTCAATGAAGGGGCAGAAGTTGAGTTGGGAAGATGCCTTTCCAAATGATACTAAGAAAAACAAAGTATTTTTTTATTTTATTTTATACTTTTTATTTTTTTATTATTATTTTTGCGTGCATGTACCGTCAAATCGGATCTGACTGGTACAGGACGAGATTGTCCCTCTTTCCCTGGCAGAGCATCTGGTGGATTCAAACCGTGCACCTTTGGGATTGCAGTGCAGCTTCTTGCCACTAGGCCACCAGAGCTCCAGAAAAACAAAGTATTGATAATACTGTTGTTGTTAGTGGTCTTAGAGTTAGCTTCTGACTAATGAAGACCCTATGCATAATGTGACTGGACTATTGTTATCCAAAAAAATTTTATTCATTGATTTTCAGAAGTAGATTGCCAGGCCTTTATTCCTACTCTGTCTTAACTTGGAAGCTCTAGCAAAGCAAGTTCAGCATCATAGTAACACACAGCCTTCATCAGCTGGCAGGTGCATGAGCCAGGAATCAAACCTGGGTCTCCCCTTTGGAAGGTAAGAATTCTGTCTTTGAACCATCACTGACTCCACTGATTGTGTTGTTTGTTGTTGCTACTATGTGTCATCAAATCAATTCTTACTTTTGGTGACCCAGCAGAACATGCTAGAACCACACCGGGTGTTTTCAAGGCTGTAAATATTTACCCGCTGCTTCATCTTCCTTTGGTGGAGTTGCTAATATGTTCAAACTCATGACATCTCTGTTAGTGCCAAAGTGGATCAACAAGTTCCTGATCCTGGCCCCTTCCAAGCAGGCCGATTCCCATTTGAGGAAGCAGAGGGATCATGCTTACCTGGCTCCAGAGGGTCAAGGCCTGGTCCCCAGGATAGGGGCCAGGTGGAGGCAGCAGACGGTCCCGGGTGAGGATGGCAGCGGCCCGCAGCATGAACGAGGTGAACAGGTTGATGTGGATGTAATTACGAGTGCAGCGCAGCCTCCTGGGGTAGGAAGTGGGAGACAGTCTGAGGACTCTTGGGGACTTATCCTCAGACATAAACCACTCCAAGGAATTCCCATAGAAACACCCCTGGATGCACACCTCCTGACCACCCCAGCTTACTGGGAAAATCAGGTGTCCTACCTGAAGACACTCAAGAGGAACAGAGCCAAGAGCAGTGTGCTGAGAGACAGGGAGTAGCCAACCGTGTACACGACCTGCAGCCGCTCCAGGATCAGCCTCTGGTCCTGAGTGTCAGTGACATGGAGCAAGACTCAGTGCTTCCCTCCACTGGAGAGAGGATCTCTTTGTTCCTGCCAGCAGCCCAGTTTTCTCTGAGTGGGGCTGACTCCACCCCTCATCTCCAGTCAATCAGAGTATTCCATCTAGTACCCACCTTCCACAGTCACTGGTTCAGAGTGGACATATTAGCCAAAGTGAACCAATGAGAATCAGTCCGGGACAGAGCTACTGAAAGAACTCTGGTGGCCTAGTGGGTAATGAATTGCACTGCCAAGCCAAATACACGAGTTCAAATCCACCAGCTGCTCCTCCGGAGAAAGAAGAGTAATATTCTCCTGTGCAATTCATAGCCTCTGAAAACCCGCTGAAGTGTCAGCTAGGACTTGACTCTCACTTGATGGAAACAAACAACAACATGAAGAATGAAACACGATCTTTCTGAAGTGTTGTTAGCTTAGTGGTGTATCAGCCACAGGGATGTCCTGGGCTATCTCTCCCATCCCAAAGGAAAGATAAAGCCAGTCAGGACTGAGGAAAACGACTTGATATTGTGTGCGTGTACCGTCAAATCAGATCTGACTGGTACAGGAGGAGCTTGCCCCTCCTTCCCCGGCAGAGCATCTGGTGGATTCGAACCGTGCACCTCTGGGATTGTAGTTGCAGCTTCTTGCCACTAGGCCACCAGAGTTCCCCTCGACTTGATATTGTGAGAGACAGATTTCCAGGCATATCATTTGAGCACCTAGATCCAGCTGTACCTGAAGCTGTTCCCTTCCATTTTTCAATCACAGAAGCTAATTCTTTCTTTCTCCTTTAAGCACATTTGAATTGAGTTTGTATCACTGAACAGCACTGAGGTTTCAGGCTTGGCCTAAAGATGTTGTCTTGTTTGTCTGTTTGTTTGTTTGTTTGTTTGTTTGTTTCCTCCTGGACCTCACAGCGTATATAACCCACTCCCCCACAGCGTCTTCACACCTGGAAGCTTCCATTCCGCTCTGGGTTCTCACACTGGGAATGGTCCCTCCAAGGTCCCCATTGGCCATCACTGTCACACTGGCGCAGAACAAAGCCCATGGCGACTGAAGAAATGAGGGTGAAGGATTGAAATCACAGAGACAGAGAGAAGGGACAGGGAAAGACACTGTGATTATTAACTACATCAATCGATTGAAATTAGTTCTAGAAATAAAAATGTCTGTAAACATTTGAATGAAAACTGATATGGTTTTCACTCACAAAAAAAATTTGAACCTACAACCAGGAGAGGATAAAATAGATGATTGGGACCTTCTAAGAATTAAATCCCCTATGCACATCCAAAAACCTCTCCAACAGGGTAAAAGTGGAAGACACAGACTAGGAAAAAATATTTTGGAATGATATGTCAAATAAGGGACTTATATCTAGAATTTATAAAATACTCAAGCACCACAAGATAAAGGCAAACAATCCAACTGAAAAATGGGCACAGAGTATGAACAGACACTTCACCAAAGAAGATATTCAGATGGCCAACAAACACCTTAACAGGTCAAAATCCCTAGCTCTAAGGGAGATGTAAATCAAAACAACTAAGAGATATCATCTCACCCCAGTAAGAATAGCAAAATTTAACAGAACAGGAAACATTAAATGCTGGTGACGTTGCGGAGAAACTGGAACCCTTATTCACTGTTGGTGGGAATGTAAAATGGTGCAACCACTCTGGAAGGCAGTATGGCTCTTTCTCAAAAAGCTGGAAAAAGAAATACCATTTGACCCAGCAATTCCACTACTGGGAATATACCCGAAAGAAACCATAACTGCCACCCAAGCAGATATATGCACACCCATGTTTGTTGCAGCTTTGTTCACAATAGCAAAGAGTTGGAAACAACCCAAGTGTGCCCATCAACAAATGAATGGATAGAGAAGCTGTGGTATATTCACACAATGGAATATTATGCTGCATTGAAAAACAAGGAACTAATGAAATATTATACAAAATGGGTGACTCTGGAGGACATGATGCTGAGTGAAATATCTCAGTCACTTTTAAAAGGACACATACTGCATAGTGTCACTGTTGTAAAGCAGGACTGACATCAGGGTTGGGGGGTGGAAATAAGAGGGATAAATAATGTATACTGAATTGAAACAGATGAGGGAGAGAACTGTTTAGGAGGGATATATGATTAGGTATTATTGTCATGCCAAGAGTTCATAATGAAAGCTGCATAGTGGAGTCGACTTGGGAGGAGGGACTGTATAACAATGAAAGAATTTTTCTTTTACTTTTCATAGAGGGAACTGGGCGGGAGGGGTGGGCAGGGAGGAAAGTGTGTAACAATGATTGAATGAAAAGCCAAAGTCTCTGCAAACTTTATCTTCTTTTTTTATATCAATTTTTTAAACTTTTTGTTATTATTTTTAATTGATATTTTATCAAAAGTATACAGAAAACTTGGATTTTCATTCATTTATTGTTGCCCACTTTCCTCCCTAGCCCCCCTCCCAGTTAACTTTTCTCTTTAAAAAGATTCTTTCATTGTTGCACAATTTCCTCCCTCCCTCCCGCCCTCCAATCCACTTTGCTATGGACCTCTTATTCTGGACTGTTTTTATGCAAATAATATCTAATCATGTGATTCTTTTAGACAGTTCTTTCCCTCATCTATTTAAATGCAGGGTTCATTATTTATATTTATCCTCTCTTTTCTTAGTTCCCTCAACCCCCATATCAGTCCTTTTTTTAACAGTGGCATCACTCAGTATTTGTCCTTTTGTTACAGAGATATTTCACTTAGCATAATGTCCTCCAGGGTCACCCATTTTGTATAATATATTATTAGTTCCTTGTTTTTCAGTGCTGCATAGTATTTCATTGTATGAATATACCATAGCTTGTCTATCCATTCCTTAGTTGATGGGCACTTGGGTTGAGTTGCTTCTATCTTTTTGCTATTGTGAACAATTCAGCAATAAACATGGGTGTGCATATAATTGTTTGGGTTGCAGTTCTGGTTTCTTTAGGGTATATTCCCAGTAGTGGAATTGCTGGGTCAAATGGTATTTCTTTTTCCAACTTTTGGAGAAAGAGCCATACTGTCTTCCAGAGAAGTTGCACCATTTTATACTCCCACCAATAATAAATAAGAGTTCAAATTTCTCCATAACTTCACCAGCATTTGTTGTGTGAAGCAAACTTTCATTCAAATAAATAAAAAGAAAAAAAGGTAAAAAGTTAAAAAGAAAATAAAATCCAATTTTAAAAAGGCCAAAGGAAGTAAAGCTGTGATTAAGTTAGTAATTGACATATTTTTAATTAAAAAAAGACTTTTTAATTAAAAAGGGGCATTTTTAAATTAAAAACTATAATGAAATTATTAAAAAAACTATCTGATATGGAGACTTTCTTTGCAATGGAGGAAGGTTTAAATTTTTACTGAAACTTTTGAGAGGAGACAAGTCAGAGAGAAAGACAGTCAATATGATGATGGTGATTACACAAGCCTTTATATAGCACTTGTGCTTATTAATATTCACAAACCTATAAATTTGAGTCATCAGACCCATTTTACAGATGAGAAAACGGAGGCATAAAGATTAAATCTGCTCGAGTCCACACAGCTATGAGGAACAAAATAAGCAAGAAAACCAGAAAGAAACCACAATGAGGTACCATCTCCGGTGGCAGTGGCAAAATTTAGCAGGGTAGTAAATAATAAATGTTGGCGAGAATGTGGCGAGACAGGAAGTCCTATACATTGTTGGTGGAGTAGTAAAATGGTACAACCACTCTGGAAAGCAGTTTGGCGTTTCCGCAAAAAGCTGAACATAGAAATTCCATATGACCCAGCTATTCCACTGTTTGGAATAGAGGCACAAAAGAAAACTTGTAAGGAGCTCTGGTGGCCTAGTGGCAAGAAGCTGCACTGCAATCCCAGAGGTGAGTGGTTTGAATCCACCAGATGCTGTTCTGCTGGAGAAGGAGAGGCAATCTCCTCCTGTAATAGTCGGATCTGATTTAACGGTACAAATACAAAAATAATAAATTTTTTTTAAAAATTTAAAAAAGGAGACTTGTACACCAATGTTCATAGCAGTGTTATTCACCATAGCAAGAACATGGACACATCCTACACGTCCAACCACAATCGAATGGATTGAGAAATAATGGTCTACTCACATGATGGAATACTACGCAGCACGTGGGAACAATGATTTTGTAACTTGGGAGGGACTGGAGAGCATTATGCTAAGTGAACTAACTCAGTCCCGTAAGGACAAATATTCTACTAGGCTATTGTAGTAAGTGCATGAGGATCCAAAGTGGGGAGGTGGGAGCAGAGGAGTGGGATGGGAGGGGAAGGGGTGGGGCTAATCATAGGGTTACACAATTTAATGGGTGGAGGGAGGTGTGGGTAAAGGAAATGGGAAAGATTCGGTGTGAAAAGCAATGTATACGAACTTTGTAGGTAAACCAGTATAAAACAAAAATTTTATTTAAATACAACATAATTTTGTCCTTAGAGAGATAATAGAAAATGAAAGGGCATCATGTGCCAGAATCAGGGTCATTGCACCAGGATTAGATAGGCAAGGGAGAAACCTAGCCAGACAAGGGAAGTGGGAGATGGGTGCTCCATCTAAAGAGAGGTAGGGTCCAGGAGAACGCCTCACCGTGCTGGTGCCAGGGCAGGTACCAAGGGCAGGAGGCGCGGGCAGTGGTGTTGGGTGCAGCGTAGTCCCAGCACACGTACATATCAAACGACCCGTTACAGGCAAGACCTGTGCGCCGACAGAATGGACAGAAAGCAAATGGACCTAGGTCTCTCTCCCCTGATGCAGCAAAAGCAGTCTTTCCCTCGCAAGTCCCTCCCATTCCCACCCAAGAACCAGGAAAAAAGTCTGCCCACCCACTTACGGCCCCGCCTCCACCTTGCCCCAGGCCCCTCCCACTGACCAAGTCCCCGCCCCCGAGCCTGCCCTTCATCGAGTATTTCTCAGACTCCGCCCCTAACCCCGCCCCTCTAAATTCTTTGGGACCCTCCCCGAGACTCCTCCCAGTTGACCCCATCTTTAGCAGTCCGTAGGGAGTTGAGTTGCTTAACACAAAAGGTTCGAATTCATTAAAAGTTCCGCAACAGAAAGATGGGCGATCTCCCATGTGAGTTAAGCCTCTGAAAATTCCCTGGAGGGGTCAGCTGTCAGTCGATTTCAACTCGATGGTAAAGAGCTGTTTTGTCGGGCATATTTTTTGGACACAGCCCACATTATGCACAGTTTTCTTTCCAACCTCAATTCAGGCTCCGCCTGAAAACCTAAGCCCCGCCCCAACCCTGGATCAAACCTAACACCTGTCCCAACCCCTGCCCCATCTACATAGATTTAGGGACCCCGCTGCACCTAAGGGGGGCGCCGCAGCCTCCAAGGTCTCCTGGCACTCGCTGCGGTACCGTTCCCATCGCTGGTATAGCTCCCCCGCCGTCTGTCCCTCAGAGTCTGTCTAGAAAAGGAGAGAAAGGAAGATCCCTCGCCCAGAGGTAAGGAGGGATGAATAGATGGCATGGGGCATTTTTTGAACAATGAAACTGTTCTGTGAGTGGACACAGGATATTGTGAATTTGTCAGAATCTACAACAGAATGAATGAACCCCATAATAATATATCAAAATTGGTTCATCAATTGTAATAAATGGGGCTCAGGAAGGCAATATAGGAGAAGCAGAGTGTGGAGGAGGGGAAATAGAAGCTTTGTTTTCTGCACAATTTTCCTTAAAAATCTAAAACTGGACTGAAAAAGAAAGTCTATTAAGACAAACACACCAAATGCAATGTTGGGGGCAGAAACAGATTATCTACAAATCGTGGTAAGCATGAGTTTACTTGTGCTTACTAATCTGTAGCAATAATTTGTGAATTGTTTCACACACCAAACAATAGTGAACAACTTCACATGTTATTTTCTACAGATTGTCAGAAAGCATAAGTTAAGCGCCTACGTGAGTTTACCTTGCTCACTGGGAATTCACTCCGTCCCTGTCAGGGGTTAAATTTGAAAAGAGGCTTTGATTCTTTAGAAAGTACTGTGGAGCTGGGAGAGAGGCAACTATGCATAGAACGCAGAATCTTCGATGTGAATTGGGAAAATGTTCACTACAGATTAATAAATAAATACTTGTAAGTCTGTGGTAGGAGTTTGGAGAAGGGGTACCTAGAAATGACCAAGGGAGGGGTGCTAGTGGGGGAGACTGCAAAGTTTTATTAGGAAAGAAGAGATGGGATATGTGGGGAGAAAGAGGAGGAACTGGAAACCATCATCAGAATTCGAATGTGGGCAAACCGGGCGCCCTTAAAACTCTCTTTGCGATGGGGGGAAACTTGAAACCATCGCGGGGGTCCTCACCTCTACCATCCGAAGCAGCAGCGCCCACAGCGAGAGCAGTCGCAGCAGCAGCCGTGGCCGCGGGGACCCAGGGCTCGGCATCGTGCGGGCGGCGGGGCATGGAGGCCGGAGGGTCCGGACACACCTGGAGAATCTCAGGGCGCTCAGGCGACCCCTGCTTCCCAGACTCACGCAGAGGCAGCCCACTTCACCCAACTCTCATCTCCGCTCTCACGTGCGATTGAAGGGAGGGGGAGGCGTGGTGAGCGGGCGGGGCCTAGAAGCACGTGATTGCCGGGCCCGCCCCCAATTTGTTGCTGGGGCAGCAGAGGTGGGAAGGGGAGGGTGTTTGCTGAGGGGGCTGTTGCCCTAGAGCCGCGCTCGGGCGGAAACGCCAGTGTCACTCAGAGTCTAGACCAGAGGACGGGAGGGGGCGGGGGGGGGCGCCCTGGGAACAGCCTTGGAGAAGAGGGAGTAGAAACTGCCAGCTAAGGATGAAGGGGAGCTTGAAACCTCCACCAGAGTTCCCACTCTGAGGGGTTTTAAGTAGCCCATAGGAACTTGACCCTATTACACTTGCCCCGTTACAGAGAAGACCCAGGATCAGCGGGACAGCCCTTCTCCCGGTTATCTAAATCCTCCTCACCTAGTGAGGCGTCAGATCATAAGCTTAGCCGGCTGGGGCTCCATGGCTAGAAACTCTCACCCTTTCTCAGACATCGTTTAAGGGGGAAAAAGCTCCAGACGGACAAGACAAATTCAGAGACACAGAAAACAGAGATCGAGAGACTGAAATACACAGAGAATCAGAGACAACGAGAAAACAGAGGCTTCAGGACAGAGAAAGACAAAAACAAATACATAAGCAAAGAGACAACGAGGTGACAGAGACAAAGAGAGGGACCCTGGAGGAAGGTAGGGACGCGATCTGGAGGCTAAACAGAGATTGTGAGACGTGGAGACAGAGATTGGACAGAGACTGTGGCGGACAGAGACGAAAGCCTACCCTGAGAGACTCAGGCTTGAGGGGGAGATGGGAGCAAAAGGGACAGGCTGGGACCGGGGGAGCTCTCACCTGCTCCCAACGCTGTGGGGGTTCACCTGTGGCGTTCCTGCTGCAGCAGCCTCCACTGCCGAGCTGGGCTCTGAAGAGGTGACAGCGCAGGCAGCTGGGATGGTGGGAGGGGGCAGGGGTGGGGCGGGACCTAGACAGGAAGGGGAGCTGAGGCCAAGACCCAGTAAGGGAACACGATGGCTTGTGAATGTCACAGCCACTCTAGGATGTATATCTAGAATATCCGTCTTGAGGACAGCACCCCCAAGCACAACTGCTCCACTGGTATACAATCCCCCCCCCCCCCCCCCCCCCCCCCCCGGTCACACACCACAACCTGCCCCTCAGTCACTGTCATGGACACACAGAGCCCGGCCACCTCTGGGTCAAGGAGGCACCATCGCAGCATCTCACACATGCAGACTCCCAGAGTCCCCCACGCCATTCACAGGTGTGTGTATTCCCACAGTCTCACCTAGAGAGTCAAAGGCTCTCGCCCCCGGGATGACACAGTGACACAGCTACCCGTCCAGGGTCAGAAACTGTACCCAACAGAGACACAGTCATAGCTACACACACACACACAGGGCTTCACATTGTCAGTGATAAGCATACACACAAACACAATCATTAGGTCACATCACAGCCACTGTACAAACACACACACACACACACACACACACACACACACACACAGCACAGCCAGCATGCATCTGTCCCACTTGGTCTATGTGTCTGTGAGAATAGGGACAAGCCGGTCACTGCTGGGTCCCTAGCAAAAGTCTAACACGGGTTTGGCACAAAGCTGGGATCCAAGGAATGATTGTTGATTAAATAAACACACACAGGTCTGGAGTCACGCAACATAGTTACCGGGTCTTCAATGACACAACGTGAAGGTCACACACATGGTGTTGCACATACACACCTGTTGACACACACATTTTACAAAACACCCAAAGAGTTACACATCCAACTGCAACCATGTTGTTGCAAGTTTTCAGTATGACACTGTCACACTGCCACCTTCCCTCGTGAAATCACACCATGCAGACACACAATGCCCCATTACAGCCCTGCTAGCACTCAGCAGACACATACAGTCAAACAGACACATACAGTCACACAGTCACATTAAGAAGCACGCAGATTCCACCACAGGTGATCCTACACAGGGTCACATACCATGGTCCTGCCACAGCACACGTCAGGCACAGTCAGACATAATCCCACTACTTCATAATCACACACAGAGCTACTCACCACAATCCCATTATCACAGCTGCACAGCCTTCACATGGAGTCACACCCCACAACTTTGCTGCAACAAAATTACACTTAGTAGTAAATGAGGGAGCTCTGGTGGTCTAGTGGTGAGAAGCTGTGCTGCAATACCACAGGCCTGGGTTCAGATCCACCAGATGCTCCATGGGGGGGGGTGAGCTATCTCCTCCCATGTGATATGTTGCCTTCTAAAACCTGCTGATAGGTCTTTTGACTTGATGGCAAACAACAACAATAAATGAGGGGACACCACATCACACTCTGCCACGATCACACACAGTCATTTAATCAGGGTCAGCACTGTGATCCCCCCACGCATGACTACACCTAGTCTTAAACATGCACACACACAGGGTTTTGGTTTTTTAATTTTTTACTAGTTTATTTACAAAATTCAAATACATTGTTTTCAACACACAGGGTTATAAATATAGCTAGCACCTTAATTACACAGCAATACAATTACACACAATCGTCATAGGCACACAGCACGACCTTCTCACAACATGATCACATGATCAGAGTCAGAGAGCAGGGTCACTGCTGCCACAATCCCACCACCCTATGATCCCACAATTACACACATGTCCCCATCCGTGATCATATACGACCCCACCACTCACTCAGCAGTAACACATGGTCACACACAGTCTCTTTCTCTCTCTCTCTCTCTCTCTCTCTCTCACACACACACACACACACACACACACACCCCACCATTGCCCCTAATCCTACCCCCATTCCCAATCCCAGCCAAGCTCATGGTCATGGTCACCCTTCACACACACACACACACACACACACACACACACACACACACTCTTTCTCTCTCTCTCTCTCTCTCTCTCTAAGGATCTCCTTCCAGTCTCTTCCTTTGTCCTATATTTGTATTCACGAGGGGACAGCTTAGACACTGAGTCCTGGTTCTCAGCGCCCTTGTGTCTCTTGAACACAAACCACCAGCAGGCACATATTAATCATGCTATTAACATTCATGAGCAAGAATTCTCCTGGGATCCAGGAGAAAGGGGGGGCAGGGTCAAGACTGCCCATTTTGCAGAGGAGAAACTGAGGTCCAGAAAAGACCTTACGAAGGGCCAGGAAGCAAGGGGTGGGGGAGAGCCAGCCCAGAATCTGGACAAAGGCCAGGCGGGAGAGGGGGGTGGTCCTTCCTTCCTGGCCTCTGACTGGCCTCCCTGCTCTCTGTCCCAAATTCCTGGAGCCCTTGGGGTCCTGGGAAAGGTTCTACCCTTGGAGTGGAGTGGAAGGGGGGTGTGAGGTTGCCAGGCACCTCCAGGAGAGATTTGATTTGGGGAGAGGAGTCTCTCCTTGACCTCAAGAGGGCCTGGGCGGGTCACCCTGCTAGGGCTGGGACAGCAAGGAGTCAGGACCTGAGTGATAACTAGAGTAAATGATGAATCATGGGGTAACTGCGGAGGATGGGGGTGTGGTGAAGGGAGACTGAGCTGAGGGAGGGGGACCAGTGGAGATGGATTGAGGTGGTGAAGGAGAGAATGAAACCAAGGACTGAGAGAGACACAAACAAGGCGAGAGACAGAAGTGGACAGAGAAAGACAGCGATCCTGCAAGAGACCAAGAGAAGGGAGAGATAGAGATCAAGAGAGGCTGAAAACGGAGCTCTGGTGGCCTAGTGACAAGAAGCAGTGCTGCAATCCCAAAGGTGCACAGTTCAAATCCACCAGATGCTTCATTGGAGAAGGAGGGGCAGTCTCCTTCTGTGCCGGTCGGACCTGCTTTGACAGTACACAACAACAACAACAAAAATAAAAAAAGAGCGAGGCTGAGAGAGAAACACAGACGGAAGCGAGAAAGACAGGTGGAGAAAGAGAGATCAAGAGAAAGACAATTTAAGAGGGAGACAGCAGGGACGAAGAGGTCCAAACTGCACAATCCGGAGACTGGTAGACAGAAAGGGCTCGGGATAGGTGAGAGAGGGGACTAGGCTCTAAGGACAGAGATGACTGAGCCCCCAGGGAGGTGGGGATGAGCAGGGTGGGCTCTGCCACCCAAGCCTTCTCCTTTCCCCTCTGTCATCACTCCTCCCCACCAGCCCCCCACTATCATTCCTCCACTGTCTCTTCTCCATCAGAGCTCCTCCGCTGTCACTCCCATGTTGTCCTCCCTGTTGCCAACTCTCATTATCAATCCCAGTGTCACCCCACTGCCAACCCCATATTGTCTTCCCTATTGTCAGCTCTCATTGTCACCTCCATATCATCCTATTGTCATCTCTGGTTGTCACCCCCAGTGCTATCCCCATAATAATCAACCCCCATCATCACCCCTGCCGTCACTCCTCTGCTGTTGCTGTCCCCTCAGTGTTCCACGTCGTCACTCCCATATATTTTATTTTACTTTACTATTTTATTTTATTATTTTGTGTGTACCGTCAAATCAGATCTGATTGGTACAGGAGGAGATTGTTCCTCCTTCTCCAGCAGAGTATCTGATGGATTTGAACTGTGCACCTCTGGGATTGCAGTATATCTTCTTGCCAGTAGGCCACCAGAGCTCTCCCACCCACCCCCATATTTTTGCCCTGTCATCAACCAGGGAGCACTGGGTGTATAGTCCCCAGGGAATAGCACTTTTGACCCAAAGGCCATGCCTCTCTGGCAGTTTGAAGCCACCAGTGGCTCTGCTGCAGAGAAATGGGTGATCTCTTCCATGCTCCATGATTTACAGCCTTGGATGCCAACTGAAGGGACAGCGAGGAGGCAGTTCTTTTTATTATTAATAATAATAATAATAATAATAATTTTAATGAAAATTTACAGATATTTTGGATTTCCATTTCATTCATTGTTGCACTTTTCTCCATGCCCACCCCTCCCCTCCAGTTCGTTCTTCTCTTTGAAAAGTGAAAGAAAAATTCTTTCATTGAGGAGGCAATTCTTACACAACAGCTGTAAATTGGAGCTTTGAGTTCCTCATCAACCTCCTTCACCACTCCCCTGTCATTACTCTCCATAACCCTCCACGCAGCTCCCATTCCATCCCCTGTCGCTACCCAATTATCCCCCAATCGACTCTTCACTTCATTTCCATCATCATGCATCACTGCTCTCCCTCCGTCATTACCCCTCACTTTTGCCCTGCCATTGCCGCCTCTATCATAACGTCCTCATCATCACCCATCACTGCTGCTCCCCACAACCACCATCACCCCTATTGTCACCACTTGAGGAAAATCACAGGGTCCGGTGGGCTGTGGAGTACAGGAAGGGCAAGTAGATACTTGGTCCAAGCCCAGCAGAGCCCTGGGGGGTTCTGGCTCTGCAGGCCCTCAGGATGGGCCACACTGTTGGGGAATGTTGGGGAAGAAGGGAGGGCCTCTGGCCAGGACAGATCACCTAGCTTCTGATAAGTGCAAGCCTCCAAATGGCCTTTAATATGGGGCAGAGAAAGCTCCCCTGTGTTTGGCTGTACTGGCTTGAGAAAGCTCACCAACTGGGAAGACGGCCGCTGCATCTGTTGAGCTGGGAGTAGTCCACACGAGGCTGAGGTTCTCCTAACCAATCCACATGTCCTACATCTGCAAGCCCACCCTATCCAGTTTTCCTGTTTACTTGCTGGTGTATAAGTGCGGGGCCGTCGCCAATAAAATTGAGCTGGATGGACTCTAGATGGCTCTCAGGGTGCTGTGTCTCCGTCGTCGTGCTTACCCCCATCAGGGTGTCGCTGTTCATTGCCTGTGAGCAGAGCAGACAGGCACACCACACCAAACCTCTACAGCTCTCAGTCGCTGGACTTTTGGAACATCTTCTGCCCCAGGAAGCAGCCATGACCATTCTCTGATCCAAAGCCTGTCTCAGGCAGCTATATGCACCCCCAACTCCCGGGGGACCCAGAGATACTGGAGCCCAGTTTTCCATGTCTTTCAACACTCTCTCCTCATCAGATAGGACGTTCATGTCTCTTTCCTATCCCTGTCTCCAGGGAATTCTAGTGACCTCATAGATGCTCTTTTTCAATCTCTATGCAAAACAGATCATTCTGGAGGCTGGGCTTTGTGAAGAGGAAGGTGGCATCAGGATTGGAAGGAGACTCATCAACAACCTATGTTATACAGATGACACAACCTTGCTTGCTGAAACTGAGGAGGACCTGAAGTGTTTGCCTTCAATATGGTTTGAAGCTCAACATCAAGAAAACAAAAATTCTCACCTCTGGGCCAATTGGCAGGCCCATGTTGGATGGAGAAGAGACTGAGGTTATTAACAGTTACAGTTTGCTTGGCTCCACAATCAACACTCTTGGCACCAGCAGTCAGGAAATCAAAAGACAAATCTCACTGGGACAATATGCTGTCAGGGATCTTTCTAGAACACTGAGAAGCAACAATGTCAGTCTAGAGACTAAGGTGCACCTGATCCAGGCTGTGGTCTCTGCTATATAACAGAGAGCTAGACACTGACTAAGGATGACAAAAATAATTAATGCCTTTGAGTTGTGGTGCTGGAGAAGAGTTTTGAATTACCACAAACCGCCAAGAAAACAAATAGTTTTGGAGAGGGTGAAACCAAGTTTCTCCTTGGAGGGTAGGATTCTGAAGCTCTGTCTCATATATTTTGGGCATGTGGCCAATCATTGGAGAAGGACATCATGCTGGAAGGGTGAAAGGACAGCACAGGAGAGGAAGACCCCAGATGAGATGAATTGACACAGTAACTTGGGCAATGGGGGTTGGTGAGTCGGAGTCAGGGAGACTGGCTCAGGACATGGCAGACTTCAGAGCTGTTGTTCATAGCGTCACTATGAATCGCAGGTGACTTGATGGCATATAACAACTACAGTAGTGGCAGTCGGAGCTCTGGTGGCCTTGTGGTAAGAAGCTGTGCTGGAATCCCAAAGTCACACGGTTCGAACTCACAAGCTTCTCTTCAGGAGAAAGATGGGCAATCTCCTTCTGTTTGATTAACTGCCTCTGAAAACCTGCCGGAGGGTCAGCTATGGGTCGGTTTTGACTTGACCATATACAACAACAGTGAGTAAGAATCTACCCTGCCAAACCAAAAGCAGCTGGTTTGAATTCAGAAGGGCCATCTCCAGTGTGATTCACAGTCTCTGGAAACTTGCTGTAGTAGCTATGAGTTGACTCTGACTTGACAGCACCTAACAGCATCCCTGTCTCTAAGAGCTCAGGTGACACTGTGGTGAAGGTATTTTTGCTGCTTGCCAAAAGGTCAGTGGTTTGAACTCACCAGCTGCTCCTCTGGAGAAATATGAGGCAGTTTGCTTTCAGAAAGAAAAAAAAACACAGCTTTGGGAGCCCTATGGGGCTGGAAGGCAGTGGGTTTGTCCTGGGGTATCCCTACTTGTGGAACTCTAAGGTCGTACAAATGGTCACTGCACTCAGCTGCTAACCAAAAGTTTGGAAGTTCGACTGCACCCAAATGAGCCGAGAAAGAAAGGCCTGTCTATCTGCGTCCTCCTTCCTTGTCTCCCTGTGTCCATTGTGCTTCACTCCATCCTCTCTCTCCTTTTGGTGCAAATCTCTCCATCCTCTTTTCCTCTGTCCTCACACTCAGCTTGTCTGTGTTTCTATCATGTCTGTGTGTCTGTCACCTCTCCCTTCTGTACCTCTTCAGCATTGCTCGGCCTCTGACTGTTGTGTTTGGTCTGTCTCCAGATCTGTGTCGATCTGCCCATCAGTAAGATCTCTGCTCTCTCCTCGCCACGTCCACATCTTTTTTGGGGTGTCTGTCTGTCTGTCTCTTTCCTTCCTGGTAGCTCTTGCTTCCCATC